CAAGAAAACCCAGACTTGTTCAATAATATTTGATTCTTGTGTGGAACGAGTAACAGAGAACTGACTTTAATTATCTTTTTCTGTATTATTTTCTTATTTTAAAGTTAAGTAATTGGATTTTTAGTGAGGGGTTCTTTAATGACTGAAATGTATCTCTACGAAATAATAAATCAAAAAGTTGCAGAGAGYAAGGCATAAGAAATAAATACGAAAGATTTATTTCTAAATTTGATCTTTTTTTCTTTATCTATTTGCTTATGTATGTTCCAAATGCTACATAAAATGTAATATTAAAAAGATTATTTGTWTTTCTGTTAGGATAGTTTGTTAAATAACGTTTTGTCTAACTGGATGGAAAAAGTCTGAACTCAAATCTTTTTGAAGGAACATTAAAATCAAGCAGAGTGAGTTGACATGGAGAGAAAAAGCTGTCCAAGAAGAGTTCAACTGTGTTACGAGGTTATTTTCTAACAATATTAAATATATATTTCAAAATAATCTGCCAAGAACAGACAAACAAAACAAATATTTGCTCAACTTTGCCCTGGTTCATATTATAAGAAAAACAAAATCTGAATGAAATTGCTAATTTGCATTTTGTGTTTTGCTTGTTTATTTCTTTGGACTTTTCAGCTCCTGTGATTTAAACAGAATGGAAAATTATGTGATGATCAGAAACGAAGAAATCCTATTAAATCAGGCCTGACTTTTTCAAAAACAGAATAGTAATTTCATTGTTGAAATTTTGGCATTACAAGATGTCCACAGCAGAACATAAAAAAAAAAAATCCATCAGTTGGTTCTGAGGCTCAGTGTGCAGAATAAAAAACTAAATGTATTTAAAAACAAAAACAATAATTGGAGGAGAGTGAACTTAAAAAAAATTAAATAAAATTACCCCCAATCCCCCGTCATTCATCAAGAACATACAATGAAGGAAAAAGAATTAAAAAAAGGTTTAGTCTCAATTATTTTCTCAAGCATTTCTGCTTGTGGCTAATCTGCCTTTCTATGGCCYGACTGTGATTACATTAAGCATTTTATACATCTTTTAAAACATCCGCTCTAATGTTCAGAACACTTCATTTATAGATTCTGTAATAGTCGAAGAAAGAAATTAAATTACCAGCAAGTCAATAATCCTTTGGTTATTAAATAAATCATGGGTTTAATTTAAATAATCTTGGGTTTTTTTATGTTTATCCATTAGCACCCTTAAAAAATCCTTCCTCTGTTTATAATAAACCCTGAATGAGCCAACAGAACCAGTCTGACACGAAGTAACTGAAATCATTGCCAAGCTCTCTAAAGTCTTTAAAAAACACACATATTTGTAAAAGTTTAAACCCTTGGATGCAGAGAGAGGCTGCGGGTCCCTGGGTGTGCGTCAGGAAACTTTGCTCCAAATGAATCAGGGGATTGCTGGATTCTTGCATCAGAGGTGGAGATCAAACGTCTCTCTCTCCCCCTCCCTCTATGACTGAACTGGTGCAGCTGCTGACTCCAAATCAATTCTAGTGCACTTCCGTGACATGGCAGGCCTAATGTGTTGGTCCTAATCAATAACAAAGTAATAGGGGAAGTTGTGTGCGATGGCTAACAAGCCCGAGGCCAGAACATCTAATGAGTGGAACTGCCTCTGATTAGTAGCCAGTCACATTTTATTCTTTAATGCCTCCTACTAGGTCAGTTAAACCCAGATTAATGAAATAATAAAAGTGAAAGTGTACATATGCACGATTGCACTAATCAATGTGAGTACTTTATAACAGTGTTTCCCAAAGTTGGGGTCAACATCAAGGTGGGGTCCTGAAAAGGTTTTCGGAATTAGTTACATTTTTGTCTTAGTTGGTTAGTGTATTTAAAATGGATAAATGTAGTATAAAAATATTGTTATGCCCACGTTTTGTTGACCTGATATAAATGTTTATCATCCAAAAATAGTTGGGGGCACAGGTCTCTGCTACTGTTATTTTGTGGGTCAAAAGCTGAAAAGTTTGGGAACCACTGCACTTTGGTTCCCAAAGTTGGGCTTGGGACCCAATTATGGGTCATGAAGCACCTTGGATAATCTCCAGAAATCAATTTAAAKGGTAATAAAATAATTGCTAATGTAATATTTTCCCTATAACTATTACAAAACACAAAAAAATGAATAAATAAGTATTTATATTTGTGTATAAGCTGTTTAGATTGTCAAAAAGCCTGTGTTTTTAGGGTTGTTAACAAAGTTTGTGTACTCAGACCAGTAATTTTTGGGGTCACAAGTTTTTGCCATGGATATTTTGTGGGTCATAAGATAAAAAGTTTGGGAACCACTGCTTTATAGTATATAGTATATTTTTGCACCATTCATTGGACTTTGTTTTTTTTTTTGTTACTTGTATTTTTGCTCCTCTCATTGAACGGTTGTATCCAGTCTTCTTGTTTAACCCTGCTGCTACTCTTGGGTCAAAATAACTCTTAACGTCTCTATTGTGTATTTTCCAGGCACATAGTTCAATTATATACCACAATCAAGTAACTATGTTGCATTCAGTTGTTATGAAATAGCTGTATATATCACAAATAAATTTTATTTTTAAATCATAGCCTAGTAATTGGTCTATGTCTCTTTAAGAACCTCCTACCGTTTGACACTCCCACTTCAGCACRATTTCACAACAATGCTTCAGAGGAGGAGGGCTCTGTGGGGTGGGAGCTCGGCTGCAGACTGAGCTCCAGGGAGGAGCTTTGTGTAAATAGGTGGAGCTTTGTGTGAATAGGTGGAGCTTTGTAGCAGGCAGCTCCACATGGCTACAGGAGGTCCAAGGATTTCTCAAACATGCATGAATGAGTCAAAACAACACTCTGGGTATGTTTGATGAGGGAATGACATTATAACATGATATGAAGCCCAAAAAAGTCAAATTTGCATAAAACTCCTCCTTTAAAACTAAGGCCTAAGACGTCATTTGACTCAAGGGTTAAGGGGTTAATTTGCTGCTACCTGCAAAAGGTTTATTACCATTTTACGTTTTTTTTAAATATTATTTTACTCATTGTCTAGTCTTATATAACATTTATACTTTGCTTTTTCTAGCAGTTTACCTTTTCTTTATTTCAAGACACAAGTTACCGGAAAATGCATATAATGAGGTTTTCATTGTACTTTCATCGTTGACTATTGGTGTATTGGTACACATACTTGTACAAAGTGTCCCGATACCCAGAATCGATACTTCATTTAACGTTTTAAGAGTTTACATTTCAAGAGAAAAGTCTGTCAGTTCCATGTTTATGTTACACAAGTTGAAAGAAAATAGTTATTTTTATTTATTTTAAAATGTTTCAACAGTATATCAAGCTGTATATTTGATTTGATCTGGTCAGAGGGGCTTAGGAGCCACCTTGTTCTAATAAAAGAAACATGTTATTAAAGTCACTGTTTAATGTTTAAATTCTAACTCAGTAAGTACTTGGTATCTGTAAGTACCCAAACTGAAGTCCGTGTACTTGCTTTGTGAAAAACTGGTATCAGGACACCCCTGACCTTGACACTGTTCCTGAAACATAATTCAGTAAATGTGAAAAATGGTATTGTGTGTCACCAATCATCAGAAAAACTGCCACCGATGACATTTTTGTCATTTTGTGATTACTGCGCGATGAGGATGTATTTTTGTGTGTGATGCACTCTCACTTTCAAGCACACAAGTGAGCCCATAACAAAACAACAATGGCTGAACCATCACCATAAACCAGCGTACGAGGGAAGCCAGAAGATGGGGACGGAGGCCACAGTGTCGGCTACAGGAAACTCTTTTCCTGGAAATGGTGGAAACAGATCAACTCAGCCCTGAATCCACGATTATCTGAGTTAATCTGTCCCTTACAAGCCACAAAGTGCTGGTGCTGTTAAACTGAACTTAATCTAACTGATTTAGAGTAACCTGTCATCTATTAATCATCATATTAATGCCATAATTAATCATGTATTTTTTTTTACCAACTTAAAGCTTTAATTTTCACTAGAAGTTTAACAAATATACATTAAAGCCTAGTGAACTAAACTCTATTCAGAATTTAACTATCATAAGCTGCTATATATCCACAGTCATACAATGTTTTCCTTGTGTAGGATTATTTCCTGAGTATAAGATTAGGTCTGTAGCTGTGACAGCTCTCGACAGCCATCCAGTGGCTCAGTCCTGTTCTCACAGCAGTAAGATTATTAAAATGAACCTACATGCAGGAATCCCACCAGAAGGGGGCGCCAGAGCCAATCAGATGGACTTAAGAGGACTGAGTTACAGCTTAAAGTCAAACTAAAAAGTATCCTAATTCAGCTTCATCCTGCTCTGTACCAAAGCTTTAAGTGTTTTTACTGATTATAAAATGCTGCAAATACAATCGAACGTGTTTAATTACATCATGTCATTGGTCAGCTTGGGAAAAAAATAATAAAATCAGAGCCTAAATTATTCACATGGCAGCTATAGACAAATCCACTGAGTGCTTTACCCTCCCAGAAACAGGCCACTCAACACATCATTAGTGGAGAAATCAATACACTTTCTAAACTGAAATCAAAGTCTCATTAGATGGGAGCTAAACATAAAACGAATTTGGCCCGCGGCACTTCAATTAAAGCGCAGCAAGGCTGACCTTAATGAAGATTTTTTAATCCAGGGTGTCCCACTTCTAAAAGCACTAAAAGTTTGCTCGTAGAACTTTTATTCACAAATTTTTCTACTTTTACGTATTTATATATTTCGATGTCTTATCATACAGTTGTTTTGAAAGAAATGTAGTAAAGAGTATAAAATGCAAGAATCAAATGAATAAAACAAAAAGAAAGCAGCTGTCAATGCAGACTTTGTATTACAGCAGTGTCTGTTTTATTGTACAGCACTTTGGGTGTCCTTGTGCTTTTTCAAGTTCTTTATAAATAAAAGTGGTGTGGTGCATTATAAGGAATAAACTCGTCCATTTGAGTGAAAGCTTCAGCTTCAGCTTACCTCTCCTCTCGCTCCCTAATGGGGTCGGTTAGGTTTATGGCCTCCGTGGTGAGCTCAACCTTTCGAACGCTACCGAAGAAGTCTGTGATGAGAACGCTTCCTGGATCCCTCTGAAACAGATCGGTGCGATGGCCCGGAGTGGAAACACACTGACTTTTGGGACAAACCTTAAACTGGGAAGAAAAAAAAGCACAAACAGTGCATTAGAAACTAAGCTGCATTTGGTCTTAGGAAAACAAACAAACAAAAAAATAAACAAAACACAAGTAATAAGTGTTTAGAAAATGATGTTTGGAGTTGTATTTGAGGTAATAATTACCAGGAAAAGAAGGAATCTGTACCAGCCAGAAGAACCAAACATAACTAAAGAGATCTTAATACTAAAAACTAAGACATCTGTGTATGACCACTACAAATACTTTGTGGTTCTGGGTTTAAAATTACAACAGCGTATTAGGGCCAGACTACAAAAATTGAAATGTTTTTAAATTACTAGAATAAAGTCGTGATATTACGTGAAAAAAGTTGTAATACAAGAGTAAAGCTGTTATAATGTGAGAATAAAGCTGTTATAATACGAGAATAAAGCTGTTATAATACGAGAATAAAGCTGTTATAATACGAGAATAAAGCTGTTATAATACGAGAATAATGCTGTTATAATACGAGAATAATGCTGTTATAATAAGAGTATAAAGCTGTTATAATGTGAGAATAAAGATGTTATAATACGAGAATAAAGCTGTTATAATACGAGAACAATGTTGTTATAATACAAGAATAAAGCCGTAATGAATGAATTAATAATTTAGAAAGAATAAAATTAATGATACAAGAATAAAGTCATAATGCAAGAATATAGTCATAATAATATGAGAATAAAGTTGTAATAATGTGTGAATAAAGTTGTAATAATAGAAGAATAAAGTTGCAATAATAGAAGAACAAAGTTGTAATAATGTGTGAATAAAGTTGTAATAATGGAAGAATAAAGTTGTAATAATGCGAGAATAAAGTCCTTGAGAATAAGGTCATGATATTACCACAAAAATGTTGTAATATTATGAGAACTTCTACATATAAAAACAGTCTTACTTCTGTGTTCAAATGAGGAATGTTGAGCAAGAAATACTTTTAACAGAGGACACTCTTGTAAGTGATCTTTGATCTGAAGGAGTCTTTTCCTGGTTAAATAAAGGTTCTAACAATCACATCAGCATCAAATTATCATCAATAGCAGGGTATTGAAATGATTGTGCAAATGACTGTGTCTTTTCAAAGACTATATTTTGGTGACTTTATTTGAGTATGAATTTTTCTCATAATATTATGACTTCTTTTTCATAGTTCAAAACAAATCTCAGTCTGGCCCAAATATTCTGTCATACATACTTGTTAAAATTATTCTGTTTCTCTCTCTTTTTTTATAAAATATTAAGTAAAACTAAAAAATAAATCACGATAGAAATAAAAATACAAAAACAGCAAAAAATTAAAAACAAAACATAAAAGATAAAATAGTTTCTTCAAAAAGGGAAAACCATTTCAGACGGAGTTTAAAAACAAAAACTTGACAGAGGTGCTCGAGAAATCAATAGTATTGATCCTTATTTCCATAAAACAGCCCCAGAACAAAGCGCACCTACAGAAAGTGGAGTACATAATTAGCGTTAGTCGGAGCGCTCTGAATAACGATGCGACTCCTGGTGCTGCAGAAGTAGAGCGCTCCCTGAGCTTGGTGGATCTCTGCAGGAGTGAAAAAGATGAAACRGGAGGCGGTGCTGAAGCTGAGCCATGGCCCAGAGCTGCGTGTAGCCACCAGCTCACAGTCATGAGTCAAAGGCAAAAACAGCCGTGACACAGGATTACAAATTCTGTTTCAAGTGTGCAGAGGTCCACAGAGGCCTGTGTGACTTTCATCTGACTCTTTCTGGGACCCCAAGTTTATGAGACCTGACAGGGAAGGTGGAAAGATACAAGCTCTTTTCTTTTTTTAAATAAAACTGTACAAACCTCAAAACATTTTCTAAGGAATGACTCAATTCACCAGTCTGCAAAAAAAGCATCCTGTCTGATCGTTACCTTTAAACCACTGAAACTAACATTTATTTTGAGTGAAAATATTTTTTTTATCTCTGCAGAAATCTCTTCAGATCAATTGTTTGAGTCAAATTTAAGAGTGGAAAATAAGATGATAAAGGTACACAGTTATTTTTTGATCGGATGTAATCATTACCTTAAAGGGTTCCACGATTAGTTGTAACATTAGACTTTATTAGATTTTTTTTTCTTTATTTGATTTTAACTGTAAAATAAAGACTGTAAAACTACTAGCTAAATTTTTTAAATTATATTTTAACACACACTGAGCCTTTTTATTTACACACAAAGCATTATGGGTAAATGATGACGTGGATAGGTCCTCGGTGCGAGGCTGCTAGCGAGTTGTATCCACCCTGAAGGTTAATC